CCCCCGCGAGTTTAAATACGTGTGGAGGCAATATGATCTGCCATTCCCCAACAAGGCATCCAAAGCCTCTTTCACTCAACGTCGTGGTGTGTAGCAGCAGTTTTTGATAAACGTGGAGGCAAAGCTCATTACAGATTTTCACGCCTTCCTCAGCTCAAAGAAAGCTACAGGGGTTGGACAAAAATATGGAAACACCTTTAAAAAACATGTTTATTTGCTTAATATGGTGTAGGAAACCCGTTGGCATCCAAAACAGCTTGCAGTCTTCTCGGAATGGATAAATACAGTTCCTGTATGTTTGCCAAGGGAATATTATACCATTCTTCCTGCAAAACGGTGGCAAGTTCAGATAACGATGTTGGCGGTGGATAACGAGAACGCACTTTCCGTTCCAATTTAGACCACAAAGGTTCGATAATATTCAGGTCTGGTGACTGTGGTGGCCAGGGGAGATGGGACAAGTCATCCTCGTGCTCAGAAAACCAGTCCTGAACAATGTGAGCTGTGTGAACAGGGGCTTTGTCGTCTTGGAAGACACCATCACCATCGGGGAACAAAGTTTCTACCATGGGATGAACTTGATCGGCCAAAATGTTCACATAAGTCTTGGTAGTCATGTGCCCTGACACAGTTATCATGGAGCTAGCAGAGAACCACGATATGGCTGCCCAAACCATAACAGAACCCCTGCCATGTTTCACTCTTGGCAACAAGCAGTCTGTATTATAGGCTTGAGATGACGTAAACTCGGCCAGAAGTGGGAAACAATGTGAAAGAAGACTCGTCAGAAAATATTACTCGCTTCCACTGCTCTATAGTCCAGGCTTTATGACTTAAACACCACCTTTTCTTGTTACGGGCATTAGCATCACTGATGAGTGGCTTCTCAATTGCAGCACGGCCAGCAATTCCCTGTTTATGAAGCTCCTTTCTAATTGTTTTGGTACTCATGGGGTTCGGTAACACAATATTCATTTCAGCAGTAACTTTTGCAGCTGTGGTCTTCTTATTTTTCGTCACAATTGCCCTTAATGATCGACTGTCACGATCAGTCAGGACACACTTTCGTCCGCGCTGTGATTTAGCAGATGATGTTTTTCCGCTTTTCAAATATGCGGAATAAATCTTCGATACAGTACCTCTTGAATCACTAAATACCTCGGCTACCTTACTTACGGAAGCACCTGCCATACGTGCTCCAACAATTTGCCCACGTTCGAAGTCTGTTAACTCTGACATAATGCAATGACAACCTCACATAACAGTACTCCGACAACAACTGAACTGTTTAGCACATTTACGAAGTTGAGTTGTCTAGGTGGTGTCAGTAGTCAAAAACGCCAGCGCCACCTACATATTTCATTAAAATCAATCTTTCTTTTCAAACATGCATTTCACAAGGTGTTTCCATATTTTTGTCCATTCACTGTATATTTCAGATCAATTAACATTGAGACTATGTGTAATCTCTGAAAAAAATTTGCCTTTGACAATTTTTACCCTTCTTCAGCTTGCATTTTGAATGCCCAGCAGTGTAAGTTTTGTTTACATGATCCTTTACTATGGTACTTATCTTTCTTCTTCGTGATTAATTTGTAAACGTAATACTGTAAACGCTCTATTTTCAGTAAATTTTAAGTTATTTATTATTATCATTTATCATCATTATTTTATATTTATTTATTTAAATCAGCAGTTAGTGAGTAACTTGTTTCTTGTCAGAATGACTACAGTCCGACAAGAAAATTTCAAAGCAAAATATTATTTAGTTTAGCAAAATTTTAAAAAAAAAAAAAAAAAAAGTACATAAAATTATTTATGGGTCTTTTTTTTCTCTTTATGCAGTCAAGTCTCTTTTTGTGCGATTTATTTTAACACAGTTTTAAAATTACGCGATATGATTCGTATTCCAATTGCTTCTTTGGTTCCCCATTTATGCATGTATGATGGCCGCCCAGAGGGGATAGTAGATAATTCTCTGATTGTCATAAAGAGGTTCGAATCCCTGGAGAAGGCATAGATGTTTGTAAGTGTCCAGTGAGGCAAGGGAGTACTCAGAATACATGGTAAGCTGAAATCCTCTCCAGAGGTTGTTGGTAGAGAAAGAGAGGGTGGGAGACTCTCGAACTGCACCCAGACGTGTTCTTCCTAGAAATTTCCATCCGGGACGTAAGCAGTTAGTAAAACCCGGCGATCTCTAGTACGCCTAACTGAGTGCAGAGGTTCCGGCCTTGCACCAGCCTGTACCTGTTATATACGTATCTACTTGTTATATATATATCATATCCTGCCTGTACCTGTTATATACGCCTAAGTTAGGACCGTTCCTTCTTGAGCTCTAATAATTATCGCTCGACATTTAAGGCCTATTATTTGCGCCGCACGTTTCCGCAAGACATAAAAAGCTACAGCAGAAGAAAATGCTCCTACTTTAACGGAATTTAGAAAGAGCTACAAAAGCAAAACCATCATCGAAAATACAGGCAAAACATGACATAAATTAATGGCAAGCAGTACTAGGGCATTATAGACACATATCATACCAATCTGCGCAAATGACTTCCTTGGTTTTGAAATTCATTTTACTAAAGTCACAATGTCATATGGAAATGGGCAGGAACTTGGTTTCAATAGATTCCGTCCTACGTAATGAAGTGCATCTAATTGAATACAACTGGCTAAATATCAAAACTCTTATTAACATAAATGAATTTTCAAAGTAGGGGAGAAAGACCACCACGACAACCGTGTTGAAATAACAGCTCAATTGAAACAGTTGCGCGAAAATAGCAGCTGAACAACAACAAAAAAGCACTAGAACGCAACCTTCTCACAGCATATAATAGAAAAGTTGGTCCCAATATTGAAACTAGCCTTACGATTCGAAAAATGATAAACAAAGATTTTCGTTGTTGCTAAAGAAATGTACGAAAAGAAAAAAATAAAGAGGAAAAATTTGTATTCATCGATGCTTCAATATGTTAAAATAAAAAAAAATTAATTATGAAAACAAGAATTAAAAATTATTTCTAATGTAGACATTTTAACTCATTAATTACGTTTTATTTATTGAAAAGAAGGAGGGAAGATATTTGGAACCAACATTCACTTTTATATCTATTTAGTTCTTCTAGTGTTATGGTTTCAAGCAAACCGGGATATTGGTATTAAGGCCATTACCCGGACTATGAAGAGGTGCTGCTATATTATTATTTCACTTTTTTTTCAGCCCGCAAATAATAAATAGATCCTGACATTATTCGCACAAAAGAAGCAGAAAGACTCTAATAATAAAATTAAATTCTGAAACATTTAAAAACAATTTGCATTAATAATATTAATTACGTAGATAATACAAATATAAATATGTATTTCCTTTCTTCCGGTGGCAAAAATGAACAAAATGAATAAGTGCTACGATAATAGAAAATTCTTCGATAACTCTTTGTGCATCCGGTCCATTTCTACCATATCCTTCCTGTAAACATCATTTCTCCTTTTTCAGTCGACAAATAAGAACTTCTATTCTTTTAAAAGAATTGTCATGCTGTGAATCTCTGATTTCCGTTCTCAAATTTCATTTTTCCCTTTCTTTCCTACCCCAAAATTTCGCTGTTTAGATGTTCGTTGCTACATACTGTGTTACCAACCAAGTTAGTTAACACTAAGTTAGTTATATTTGCCAACATTAAATGTTTAAATTACACTTTTACTTCAAAACCTTACATTGCTTACTTAATTTTGAATCTTCTGCGAATATCAGTTGCAACTGCGGCAACAGATAATTAAAACTCGCTTAAATAATATAAAAAGTAATGTTGCATATTTCAATCAAATACCAACTCGTCTAAAAGTACAACTACACGAAAATGCGATGCAATAAATATCTAATTTCTTTAAATTTAAAACACAGCCTCTTCAATTTTAGAATGAATTCTAGAAAACACCAAGAAAGCATTATTTAATATTTAAATTATTAATTTGTAGTTACCTATTTGTATCACAATCGTAATTTATTAATTTAAAAGAATTTCCTCATTTAAGAAAAATGTCCAAATTTTACAACATATAAGCAAATACTTTGTAAAGTCTTGTATTCTTAGGAAGCATAAACTCCAGACTTTAAAAAGACTATTGAAGAATTTTACTCTAGTCTTGTGAAACAAACAAAAGTCAGAAGACGGGTGTATAAGATCCTTTTATTATAACACAAAGAAGTAACAACAGGCAACTTGGATTTACAAAAGACAAGCCCTCTTGGCTTAACTTAAATACGTAATATTGAACTGAAATCAAATGCAATAGATTAACCTAACGGCTCACAGGATAAAGTAACGCACAGGAAAGGCTCTGGTTTGTAGAAAACCGGCGAGACAAGCTTAATGGCCAGAAGAACTCAACGTCACATAATCAAATCGCTAATAAGTCACGGTACAAGGTGACCTTCGCTTAAATAGCACATCTTTCTCTCTCAATATGAATAAACGCTGTCTCATATCTCATTTACATTCTGGCATGAGAAGTGTCGGTGAAAAGAGAGTGACATTAAAGCACTAAACCTAAAATCAGCTATTAGTTAAAAATAAACAGATAAATCTTCACTACTTTAATACCTTTTCCATGCGTAATAAAAAGTGGTTAAACTTAAGAATGGGTGCATATTTAATAACACTTTACGTTACAGCATTTCAAACATGCAGTGAACCCTCTCTAAGAAAAACAACCATCTTTCAGGTGATTTTGCTTTTCTGTAGAAGTTGTAGTATTACAGAAAAGATATTCAATATCAAAATTTATTTATGTTGTTAGAAATATAAATCACTTTCAGAAGCGGTCATCTTAGGGAGATGAGCTCCACAAGAGAGATGTATTACTGTAAAATCCATTTCAAATATTGATCCAGGGAGTGATATAAAAATATTTAATAAGTCAAAAATGAAACGAAACATCTATAAATCTACCAGCATAATAGAAAGGAAAATGTAAATAAGTATTCTAACCTCTTTTTGTGGCAATCCATTTTGGATTGGAGTGTTTGAATTGATGGACGCTTTGCCTGCAATAGAAGAAACCAATCAGTACAGCTCACATTATCAAAATATCATTATAAATCATATTATAAAAACATCAAAATATCATTATAAATCATTATCAAAAATCATTATAAAAATCATCAAAAATCGTTATCAAATTATCATTACAAATCATCATCAAAATCATTATAAAAAATCATCAAAAATCATTATCAAAATATCATTATAAGTCATATCATTAGAAATCATATTATCATTATAAATCAACAAATAACTACTTAAATATCATATTATTTATATTGTTACGTTTTTCTTTTCATTCACGTTCGTACGGGGTTCGTGTGGATTTGGAGTGAAAACGACGACACGTGATGAAGTATCGAAACACACTTCATTGGCCAGTATTGTCAGGACAGCTCCAAAACACGTTTATAGTCGTCGAAGATCTACTTTGCACTCGCTGAAACAATCAACGACACAGCCTTCAGGCTATCACGGAGACAGCTTCGCTGCAAAGCATTAGAGTACAGCTCCCGACTCTGCTCGGTCGTTCTCGGAACTCCACGTACTCTCGAGACTTTCCACGCTACAACTCGCGATGCACTCGACGACACACAGAGCACAGCTCTCGACTTTTCGGTTCAGTCGTTCCCGGAGCTCAACACGCTCTCTCGACGATGCACTAACCGCAATACACTACGTGAATCTTTCGGTGCACTCGACGACCCACTCGGCACTCGCTGTCCGGCTGACAACCTCGATCGACTCCGCAGGGATTGACTCGTTAGACGAGACACCAACTCGATACTAACTCGCACTCTTGATTAAGCACTCCCTAACTGACTGCGGACCAGCAGGGTTATATAGCTTTCGACTTGTATTCGCGTACATTCTGGGCTAAACCGGTAAGAATTCGTTCCAGAAGGTTCTCCCTCCGTCCATGGCATATCGCCAATTTTGTCACAAATTGTCGCCAAACGGGGGATTTCTCGCCAAACATGGCAACTCTGCCTTCCATCGCCATTTTATGGCAACCCTAAAACTGCTTTGCGGAAAAGCTATCTTACTGCGCCTGTACATTTCGTAACAATATCATCAAACATCTGGATATTCATATTTACTTCCCTAAAAAACTCAAGAAGTTTTATATTAACCTACCTGTTGTCTGCAACAATACAAAAGTTTCTTTCCATTCACCACATTTCGTTCAACAGCACATCGATATTACAAAGAAAACCCAGACCTTGGTAAAATGCTCAGACGCAAAAGAACAAGATTTTATGTAACGTAATGAAACCACAGTTAACTATTTATCTTTGAAAATTAACAGCTTGCTATGACGCACGACAGACTTATAGATTAATATCACATTTAAATAAAGCATATTCAATCTGTAGCAAAAAAGCTCATGTTTCTTATTTATGATAAGTTAAAATAAATCGTCATAAAGCTGAGATTTGTATAAAAGTATGATGATGTGGAGTTTTTGGATAATAATATCAGGATTTGGTGATTATGTCAATGTCATTGTGTCAGTGTTAGTGGCGTATACTTAGGCAGGAACATTTATATTCCTTCAAATGCAGGACCCTGAAAATTCTGACCATGTCATAATTCGCCAGGAAGAAATACTATCATATTTTTCAAAATCATTTATACAAAATGTGCTCAACATTAACTTTCCAGAATGATGAATTAGACATAATAGAACTATTTCTTGATTGCCGCGAAGCTCTAATCCTTATACTATTCCATGTATTCATTTTTGGTATCATAAGAAAGTACCGGCTTATAATGAAAAGGCTCATAATCACGTCAATCTAAAGAAAAAAAAATCCCTGAAGCAAAATGAACATTCCCAACGTTCTTCTTTGAATGAGGATGAAAGATGAATAACCTTTCAATGTATCCCGTAATGTTAATGGTGCATACGGGAATACAGAAATGCTTTTCAGATAGCTATTAAAATGTTTTACAGCCTTTTATGTCACAGTTTTACATCTAATACTATACAAACGAATATTAAATGCCCCCGTTCTTCAAGGATATTCTGTACATCACATACCGATGCCATGACATTAATTGATAAAGTAACATATTTGATGGAACAACAGTGAAAATTTCTTAAAATTACCACTCACAAAGGATTTGGGTCTTCTGTGAAGGTGGTCGCTTTACAAGATATGACTACTGATATTGCTCAGTATTGCTATCTAATTATAGTTTCAAAAATGCTGATCATTTTCAAATGGATTTTATCTTACTTAATATGCAATAACTAGGCTTGCAACAATATGCAAGTCAAAATGCACAGTAGAAAATTTCAATAATTCAATAAAACTTACAGGACATATTAAGCCTTTTACGAAAAGTAACTTGTGACTAAAACCTGAATAAAACTGTAGATGATTATCGCTGTGTCTTGGGAAATACTACAGAGACGTTAAAGATTCTTTTCTTTAAAACTCAATAAGCTGAAAAGAAAACACACCTGGTGCTTACAAATCCGCCAGCATTTATGGCGAGAGCCAAAATATAATATAAATTTAAAACTAAATCTAAGTATCAAACAGCCAAAGGCTACGTAGAGTAAATTAACAGCGAATCTTGGCTTTTAAGCTTACACCGGTGTGAAAAGCACTACCTGCAAGAATAAAGCAACGCCGAAGACAGGATCTGTGGCCCTGAGCAGGCACAACTCTCTCTGTCTAAGCAATTTCAAACCCTCACTTAAATACGCAAACTACATTTACATTATAGAGGAGAAACGGAAAAGGAGAAATGGACAGTACAGATCTGCGAACATAAAATAATTGGGTAAGCAAATTAAAATAAATCTTAGAACATAAATATTTGTACATATCCAAGATAAACAGAATACAGATGCTAAACAAGTGAAGTACACGAATCATAAGGAATATATTTTACGTATTCAATATTGTATTGTTTATTGAAAATTAATTAAAGATAAGGTATATAAGATTTTACTAACATAAGAGTTAACATAAGATTTTACTAACACAACAGTTTTTAGAAAATATATAAAGAGTGGCCCATAAAAAAGTCGCCCATTTACGGCAAGTCCAAAAGGCCACCATCTTTCTGACGCAATATATAGTAAGTGCAACAGAGATACCCAACCGTTTTGTATCTTAAGGCACATTCCAGAATACCAGAGGGGCAGCGGACACATTTATTTTTGAAGTTAAATTTATTTATATTGGCATATGTTGGAATAATTCCTGGTGGATGGATAATACAATGATATGATATAAAATATGAAAATGATTTGTCTTTCTTGCAGACAGCAATAAATCCAATAATATTACCATCCAGTGCTGGTGCTCCCCGACAACTTATGTAAAGGTAGAAATATCAAAGGATATTTATCGATTTTGTATAAGCTGTAAATATGTTGTGGATATCCTCACTTGTCCTTTCATGGGTAATATTTTCAGGATGTCTGCTTTACAGTAAATTTACCAAATTCTATTCTCACCGTAATTGCTAATTATGCAATGTCTGATATATCTGTAGGCTCATCATATTGTAGTGAAACCCGTCTATTTTCAAGTCATGGTTTAACTGAATTTGCATGTCTTTCGAAATGGCATGTATGCTTCTTGTCAGGGTGTTGTCTGACAACTGTAACTCTCGCATTGCTGACATAAATACATGTTTATTATATAATCCCTAAAATAAGCAATCGGTAGCAATTGAAAATACTTCTTTTCACAATTCACCATCCTGAAAAGGACTTTTCTGCGAACATGTGCGAAATTTTGAAAGAAGCTGCTGTGACGTTTTTACACTTTACCACAGGCTTAGTGAAAACTGAGTGTTGGGCAAACAGGTTTGTTTTTAGCTGATTTTTCTTCTTATTTTTTTAGATCCAAGTGAACAGGTCATATTATAAGTGGCATGCATTGTCTGAAAGTTACGTTCAACATTATATTTTTTTTGGCACTTGCTGTAATACTACCGCAGAACAAATAGATATATTTATCTTTAAAATTAACGAAGCAATATGATTCTTCCCAGTCAGTATTAAATTTATAGATCATTTGCCTTTTACTTGAGAAACTCATTTGGGAATTAAAATAACAAAGTATACAAAAATAATGAAATAGAAGACACCAACAATAAACTAAGAGTCACGTGCACAAAAAATACGAGAACATAATTTACAATAAATATAGCATAACAGTTTCTGGAATATCCATTAAATGAAGATTCCCCATTCTACATGACACAACAGTGCAAAACATATAATTGCGCTCTGCGTATGGTGCCATCTATGAAGACTGGTATTCAGTACAATAGTCTAGGGAGACAATTCAGTACAATAGTCTAGGGAGACAATTCAGTACAATAGTCTAGGAAGACAATTTAGTACAATAGTTTAGGGAGACAATTCAGTATAATAGTCTAGGGAGACATTACAAAATATTTTTAATGCGAGCATATTAGACATATTTTTCACTTTAAACAAATAACCAGGGCAAAATAACAAACTAGACGGTGCGCTTGGGACCGCACCTTCAAACTGCAACCATCTTGATCAAATTGGGACGCCTGCCAAGCCCATTTAAAATGATAAACATATTGTTGCGTGACTACGGGTTCGTAATAGATTGAATGCATACAGCTTCGATTATAGGTAGATAAAATTTATTTTATAGAAAGAAACACTTCAGAGCTCTGAAACTTTCCACAAAAATTGTCGTACAGCTCTTCACAGTATCACGGAGTATAAGCAGTAGTTACGATTCAAATATTAAGAACATTAAACACAACGAAATGCAAAGCGCATTTAAAGAGCGAAGCTAGCCCTCTATCTATGTTATAGATATCTCTATAGTTAGCGTGAGATATCTCTATAGATATCTCTATATCTCTATAGTTCTATCTCTATAGTTATCTCTATAGATAGATAGTTCTCTATAGTTCAGCGTGAAGATATCTCTATAGTTCAGCGTGAAGATTCACGCTGAACTAACGACCAATAAACAACTCAGAGCAG